AATATTGGGACAGTTAAAATTCCCAACAGTTACTGACGTTGTTTTCTACTCAGAATTTTGCTTGAATATTTTCTGTCTCCCTCTGTTTGGGATCTATTATACATTCCCAGTAGTGTGACTGCTCTTTATTGTTCCTTGACTCGATCCATGTTTTTATTTTGTCACTCACGGGACATGGCGTTGCTGGCTGGGCCAACACTTTTTGCCTGTCCGTAGTTGCCCTTGAGGGTGGTGGTCACCTGCCTCCTTGAACCACTGTAGTTCACGTACCGAAGACATACCCACAGTGCCATTAGGGAGGGTATCCCAGGATTTTGACCCAGGGACAGTGAAGGAATGACAGCATGTTTCCGAGTCAGGATGGTGGTAGCTTGGAGGGGAGCTTGCAGGTAATGGTGCTCCCATGTATCTGCTGCCATTGTCCCTCTAGAGGTGGGTTTGGAAAATATATTCTAAGTGTCTTTGGTGACTTTCTGCAGTGTGTCTTGTAGATTTTACATACTGCTGCTTAGTGTACTCTACGGAAATGTGGTGGACTTTATGGATGTAGTGCCAGTCAACTGTGCTGATTTGCCGTGGATGGTGTCAAGTTTCTTGAGTTTTGATGGAACTGCACACACTCAAGCAAATGGGGAGTATTCTATCACACTCCTGATTTGTGTCTTGTACGTGGTGGACACGCTATGAGGATTCAGGAAGTGAGTTGCTCGCTACAATATTCCTAGCCTCTGAATTGCTTTTGTAGCCATTGGATTTATGTACTGAGCCGAGTTGAGTTTTTGCTCAGTTTTAACCCCTGGATGTTAATAGTGAGATGATTAGTGATAATAATACCAGAATGACATCTGTGATGCTGGGGACCTCTGGAGGAGGCTGGTATGAATCATCCACCCAGCATTCTGGCAGAAGGTTGTTGGACATGTTTCAGCCTTCTCTTTTGCACTGATATGCTGGGTTCTCCCGTCACTAAGGATGGGGAAATTTGTGGAGCCACCACCTCCAATGAGTTGTTTGTCCACCACCATTCACAACCTGATTGGCAGGACTAAAGAGCTTAGGTCTGATCAGTTCGTTGTGGGATTGCTTAGCTCTGTCTATCACTTGCTGGTTATGTTGTTTATTACACAAATAGTCTGATTTTGTAGCTTCACTAGGTCAACACCTCAATTTTAGATAAGCGTGGTGCAGCTCCTGGCACGCCCACCTGCATTTCATGGAACCAGATTTGATCGTAATGGCTGAGTGGGGAATATACCAGGCCATGAGTTTGCAGATTGTGTTGGAGTATGATGCTCCTGCTGCTGATGACCCACAGTGGAAATGGATGCCCAATCTTGAGTTACTCGATCTGTTCGAATCCTGTCCCATTTAGTACAGTGATAGTGCCACTCACCACAATGTAAGGTATTAGCAACATGAAGGTGGACCTGTGTCTCCACAAGGCCTGTGTGCAGCAGTCAGTCGTATCGATACTGTCATCGACAGATGAATCTGCAGCAAGCAGATTGGTGAGGATGAGGCCAGGTATGTTTTTCCCCTCTTGTTCATTTCTTCACTATTTCCCGTAGACCCTTCTAGCAGCAACTTCCTTTATAATTTGACCAGTTCAATCAGTACTGCTGCTGCTGAGCCACACTTGGTGGTAGATGATGAAATCTCCCACCCAAAGTACATTCTGCACCTTGTCATCCTCTGCTATAAGGTTGCACTTTACAGTCCTCAAAACACATCATATATTCTCACAGCTTCTTTGATCAAAACTTATCAACTTCCTTTTTATTTCTGTCTCTTGTTTGTAAACTCTGGTGGCCAGGAATTCTTCATTGGACAACACCCCACTTGCAGACGCAGAAGCATCTGACCATGTCATCTTATGTGGGCTGTAACTCTGCTCGCCTCAATTACAGATGTTATCTTTATCCTTAAGTGGCATGTGATTCATAAAATCCCTACAGTGCGGTAAGAGGCTGTCTGGCACATCGAGCCACCGTTCTGCCCACTGAAAATGAAGTTTTCTACTGTGTTCCTGCAAGATTTTCTAACTCACCTGCTCAGAGATGTTAGTACACACCTCTGGAACAGGTGGGACTTGAACCCATTACCTTCTGGGTCACAGATGTGTGTCACAAGTTTATGTACAATTAAGCAATCACACAACCAAAAGATCAGTCTTCCCACATCTTACCCATATCCCACATCCTTCCTACATCATACAATTTTCTTTATTCAGACTAATACACTGTCCTATGCCATCTTCACTCTTAAAACCAAAAGGTTGAAACAAATATATCGAGTAGACAATTCTGAGGAAGAGTCACTGGACCCGAAACATTTTCTGATTTCTCTCACAGATGCTGCCAGACCTGTTGAGCTTCTCCAACAATTTCTGTTTTTGTTTGTGATTTCTGTGATCCACGGTTCTTTTGGTTTTTATGTAGACGACTGTCTTAGCCATTCGTTGCCAGATCTGACTCAGCGATTAGTTTATATTGGATCCTGCTATCATCCTGAAATGCAGTGACCAACTGTGTCTTTAAACTCCTGTCTCCTACTTTGACTTCAATAAGAAGTGCAAGGAACTCATGAACTACTTCACTCATAAGATTGAGTCCATTTATTTAGCTGCCTCTGTTGTTTTACTCCCTTCCCTCAGATCAATAATATGTGAGGTGCTGTGGACCTTCAACAGAATTGTATTTGCTCTTCATCTGTAATGTCACAGTCCAGCATATCCCTCACTCTGCAATTACCATCAAGCTGGTTCAATGAAGAGATCAAGAAAGCATGTGAGAAGCAGCACCAGGCGTACCTAAAAATGAGGTGCCAACCTGCTGAAGTCACCACGCATGCATGCTGAATAGCAGAAGCAGTATAGAGCCAAGTAATTTCACAATGAACAAAGTATATCAGAACCCTGTAACACAAACAGAAATTGCTGCAAAAACTCAGCAGTTTTGGTAGCATGTGAGGAGAAAAGACAAAGTTAATGTTTCGGATCCAATGACCCTTCTTCAGAACAGATCATTTTTATTCACTTGTGGGATGTAGATGTCACTAGCTGGCCAGCATTTATTGCCTGTGCATAGTTGCCGTTGAACTGAGTGGCTTGCTGGGCCATTTCAGAGGGCAGTTGAGAGTCAACCACATTGCTGAGGGGCTGGAGTCACATGTAGGCCAGATCATGTGAGGGTGGCAGATTTCCTTTCCTGAAGGACGTTAGGAACCAGATGGGCTTTTCTGACAATTGACAATAGTTTCATGACCATCAGTAGATTGTTAGTTCCAGATAAAAGTTTAGAATGGAATCCTTGTTTGTTTTTATTATTCAATGCCCCATTCACAAGTATTTGATACAGATTCTTGGAATGGCATTCTGTGCGGTTTGCATTTGCTGGCTGTCTGCTGAAGAATTAACCTCGTTTCACACCTCCCCAGTGAGTTTTATCTTTTGACACAATTCTCTTTTGAAAGCCACAATTTAATGTGCCTCCACACCAAAACCCATGTATTCTAGATTTTTTTTTAGTTTTGTGTTTGCAAATTAACTTAAATCTTTATTCTCTGGTTATTTAACCTATCCGCCAACAAGAGCAGCTTCTTTTTATATATATTGTTCAGGCCCATTGTGATTTTGAACACTTGTATCAAATCTCTTGATGTCAGTTGGTATCCTCCTCATAATTCTCAATATGTCCAGGTTTTGTCATCTGCAGGTTTTGAAGTTGTGTACCCAAATCTAGGTATATATCATGAAGAAAAGAAGAGTTTCAGTACTGACTCTATTGTATGCATCATCCTGTCTGAAAAACATTGTTAACCACTGTTTTGTGACTGAGTCAACATGTTGTCACCTCCTCTTTTGTCGTATACGTTGCAGCTTTACTTGCAAGCTTTTTTTTTGCCTTTTGGAAACCCATGCATGCCATGATAAAGTTTATTATCCTCAGTAAGCTTGGCAAAAAACTGAGTTAGTTGCATGTTATTTGCTTTTAATAAATCTCTGCTGGCTTTCCTTAGTAACTCATTTGTCCAAGTGACTATTAATCAGTTCTGAAGAAAGATAGCTGGACTCGATGTTAACTCCACCTTCTCTCCACAAATGCTGCCAGACCTGCTGAGTATCTTCAGCAATTTCTGTTTTTGTTTGATCTCCAGCATCCAGAGTTCTTGGTTTTATTTATTTGACTACTAATCTTGGGAAGTCACATTGAAGTTGTACAAGACATTGGCATGACTTCTTCTGGAGTAGTGTATCCAGTCCTGGTCGCCTAGTTATAGGAAAGATATTATTAAACTGGAGAGTTTTCAGAAGAGATTTACCACGATGTTGCCGGGTATGGAAGATTTGAGTTCTAAAGAAAGGCTGGATGGGCTGGGATTTTCCTGACTGGAGCTGAGGAGGGTGAGAGGTGACCTTGTAGAAGTTCATAAAGTCATGAAGGGTATAAATAGGGTTAATGGAGGATGTCTTTTCCCTTGGATGGGGGATTTCAAGACTAGGGGACACATTTTTAAGGTGAGAGGAGAGAGATTTAGAAATGACATGGGGGCACATGTTTTACACAGAGAGTAGTTCGCATGTGGAATGAACTTCCTGAGGAAGTGGTGAATGTGCCACACTTAAAACATTTTAAAAATATTTGGGTAGATATATGAATAGAAAAGATTTGGAGGGATATGGGCCAGGAGCAGGCAGGTGGGACTAGTTTAGTTTGGGATCATGTTCAGCCTGGACTGTTTGGACTGAAGGGTCTGTTTCCATGCTGTATGACTCTATATGCTGGATTCTCTTCTCTTATTGTGCCATTTTTAAGGATCCTTGTATCTTTCAATTCTTGCATATGTTTTGACATTTCTCCTTTTACAGTCACTAATGTATAAAGCCTTTAGAATGTAATTAGTCTGGCTCGTTTGCTCTCCATCTCTGTAAAATGAATATTCTTATAATTACGATTTTAATGAAATACACAATAACTTGTATTTTGATGTGCTTCACACAGACGTTTTGCTGCATTAGATGTTCTGGTCACTATGGGTGAGATAAAAGTCTCCCCTGATTATAACTGGTTCCGGAGTACAGTCCCACTAAAAAAGGCAAGTGCTGCATTTCTTTTACTTTAAAAGGTGACTGTTAAATCCCAAACAGATGAGCCTTCCTTATTGTGTAGCAATTTATTTAATATTATTTAATTAATTTATTATATTGAATAATTGTTTTCCATGTAATCCAATAAATTGGCACTAGGGCTCCAGGTTTGTCAGGTACCATTGTCCAGGTTATACCCTATGCTCTAAATGTGCACCATTTGTCTCAAAAATATACTTTGTGCATAAAGATATCTTTATGCACAAAAGCAGTTACTGAAGCAGTTCGGTTCTGGACACTAGCGTATGAAGAAATAAACAAACATTGGAGTTTGACTCCATCCAGCAAACAAAGATTAGGCATTTTTTACATAGACAAACAAAAACAGAAATTGCTGGAAAAGCTCAGCAGATCTGGCAGCATCTGTGGAGGGAAATCAGAGTTAACGTTTTGGGTCGAGTGACCCTTCCTCAGAACTGATAGTAGCTAGAAAAATGTCAGTTTATATGCAGAAGGTAGGGTGGGGGGAAGGAGGTAAGGCCACTTCTCTTAATATGCATTTCTCACTTGTACAAGACTATATTTAGATATAGAGATAGTAGGAACTGCAGATGCTGGAGGATCTGAGATAACAAGGTTTAGAGCTGGATGAACACAGCAGGCTGCGCAGGAAAGCTGACGTTTCGGGTCTAGGCCCGAAACGTCAGCTTTCCTGCTCCTCTGATGCTGCTTGGCCTGCTGTGTTCATCCAGCTCTACACCTTGTTATCTTATATTTCGATATATTTGAGGCACCAATAACTGAACAGATCCCCATTTAACTTTGGCAGAAGGACCTTAGACAGTGGTCATTCCCCACTGCCCCAAGCTTTAGTGTGTCCCTCAGCACATAGCCCTGGACATTGGAATGTGCCAGTCTGCAACACTTGGGCAAGGTCACCTCATTGCTCAGGAAGAGCAACAAGTTTCGGGTAGACCAAAGAGCATCTTTTACGAGTTGATGGTACTCCAGGCACAGTCGATGTTTGTCTCGGTGTGCGTCCCAGGGAATAGACCTGCATCACAGAGATGCTAAGGATGAACCTCAACAAAAACCACTGCATTTTTCTTCAGACTTCCTTTGCAAAGGTACATTCCAGAAGATGTGTGACAATCTCTCTATACCCCTGCAGCCTCTTCGAGGGCAGCATGAGCTGGCACAGAGAGTCCAGGTGTACAAAAAGGATCTCACAGGTAATGCCCTTGTCACCACCAGCCAAGCGATGTCTTGGCACTTGTTGGAAAGTTCTGGTGATGAGGCATTATGCCAAATGACTTTGACAGTCTGTTCAGGGAACAATCTGAGAGGATCCACCCTTTTCCCTCAAGGTTTCGAGGACGCAATTTTTTCAATGAAGGACAGGTTTATGGAATGGTCTAACTGCAGTCTTAAAGTGCATTCAGGTGGATAAATCCCCTGGGCCTGACCAAGCCCATCCTTGATGTTGGGAGAGGCTAGGGAGGAAATTGCAGAGGCCTTTGCAGAGATTTTTGCTTCATCTTTAGCCAATCTTTAGTGAAGTTCCGGAAGACTGGATGGTGGCTAATGTTGTTCCATTGTTTAAGAAAGGTAGCAAAGACAAGCCAGGGAACTACAGGCCAGTGAGCCTGACATCAGTGGTAGGCAAGTTACTGGAGAGGGTACTGAGGGACAGGATCAACCAACATTGGGATAGTCAGCCTCTCTGCTCCTATGATGCTGCTTGGCCTGCTGTGTTCATCCAGCCCTGCACCTTGTTGTCTTGGGATAGTCAGCATGGATTTGTGCACAGAAAATCATGTCTGACAAATCTTTTAGTGTTTTTGAAGAGGTAACCAAGAGGGTGGATGGGGGTAGGACAGTGGCTGTTGTCTATACAGACTTTAGTAAGGCCTTAGACAAGGTCTCGCACAGCAGGCTAGTCATGAAGGTTAGATCGCATGGGCTCCAGGGAAAGCTAGCTAATTGGATTCAAAATTGGCTTGATGGTAGGAAGCAGAGGGTGATGGTTGAAGGTTGTTTCTCAGACTGGAGGCCTGTGACTAATGGTGTGCCACAGGGTCGGTGCTGGGACCTTTGTCATTTGTTACTTACATAAATGATCTGAATGTGAATGTACAAGACATGATTAATAAATTTGCAGATGATACAAAATTAGGAGGTATCATTGATAGCAAAGGTGGTTATCAAAAATTACAGAGGGATCTTGATCAGTTGGGGAAGTGGGCTAAGGATTGGCAAATGCAATTCAATACAGTTAAAGTGTGAGGTATTGCACTTTGGAAAGTCAAACCAAGGTAGGACTTGTGCAGTAAATGGTAAGGTCCTGAGGAGTGTTGTGGATCAGAGGGACCTAAGGGTACAAGTACATAGTTCATTGAAAGTGGTGTCACAGGTGGACAGGGTGATGAAGGAGGCATTTATCATGCTGGCCTTCATCGGTCAAGGCATTGAGTATAGGAGTTGGAACGTTATGTTACAGTTGTATAAGTCGTTCGTGATGCCGCATTTGGAGTATTGTGTACAGTTTTGGTCACTCTGTTATAGGAAAGACATTATTAAACTAGAAAGTGTGCAAAGACAATTTACGAGGATGTTGCCAGGACTAGTAGGCCTGAGTGATAGAGAGAGGTTGGCCAGGATAGGACTTTTTCCCTTGGAACATAGGAGAATGAGGGTGACCTCATTGAGGTGTGTAAAATCATGAGGGCATAGATTGGATGAATGCATTTAGTCTTTTTCCCAGGGATGGGGAATTGAAAACTAGAGGGCGTAGGTTTAAGTTGAGATGGGATAGATTTAAGAAGGACCTGAGAGGCAATTTCTTCTCACAGAGAGTGCTTATATGGAATGGGATGCCAGAGAAAGTGGTTGAGGCAGGTACAATAGCAACATTTAAGAAATATTTGGATAGGTACATGGATGGGAAAGGTTTAGAGGGGTATGGACTAAATGCGGGCAATTTGGAACTAGCTGAGTGGGCAGCATGACCCAATTTGAGCCAAAGGGCCTGTTTCCATGCTGTATTACCCTATGACTCTATAACTTCCTGGAGCATTCTGCAGCAATGAGGGCAGTCCCATCCTTTACAACACGGGGACAGGTAGAACCTCGGTACACTTGGTGTACGCACAGTTTGATGCAGCCATAGGATGAGGGAAGCATTGGGAACATGCCCCCTCTCCCCATCTAGTGTTTTGTACATGGTATTCCTGTGGGCACAGCCCATTGTAGACCTACAGATGGCTTCGGTGACCACAATGACACAGGGAACCTAGAACAACAGAGAGAGCCTCACACCTGATGACCAGGTATTTACCCACAATAGAGAACGGAGTGGTGCTCCTAAAATCCCAGTTTCTGCCTTACCTTGGCATTACAGTCCTCCCAAGATTTTGCGCAAACCTCGGCCGCTCCGAACCATATTCTCAGAACCTTCAGATAATCTGTCCTGACGGTGACATGGTTAAAAAAATTGGTTGGCCCAATTCCCAAAGGACATGGCCTCACTCTTGCCTTGATTTACCTTGGCTCCTGAGGTCAATTTGAACTGGTTGAAGATGCTCATGAGTCTGTGCATTGACAGTAGATACAAGGCAAAAACTTAGTGATGTCATCATGTAAGGGAGATTTTGACCTGCAGGCCTCTACAGCCTGGAATAGTCATCCCTCTCAGGTCAAATCCTTTCTGATGGACTCAGCAAAAGGCTCGATGCAACACACAAACAAGGCAGGAGATAACGGGCAGCCCTGCCTGACTCCAGATCTGATTGGGAAGCTTTCTGATTTCCACCCATTAATTAAGACTGCACTAATGATGTTGGTGTAGAGCAGTTGGATCCAATTGCAGATTCCCTCCCCAAATCCCATTATGGAGAGTATGTCCTACATGTAATTGTGCAATATTCTGCGATGTCCTTCTCCTGGACCAGGCTGATGAGGCAGGTGTCCACCTTTCCCCCTCATGTAGGAATGCTGTGCCTTCAGGTGTTGGAATACTTAGATCCTATCCAGTGTTCAAACTGTGGTTTGCCTGTGGCTCAATTGCACCTGTTGGTCCATGTGTGGGTAAGTCTGCCCAGGATTGTACCCAGTCCTTCAGATGAGAGCTACCTGTGCCAGGATTGACTCTGTGCTCCATATACCCATATCTTTTGCAGGCTCTCGTTTGCTGGGCTTTTTGTTCCATGCCTGTGATTGAATTTCAAAATCCCAATCGTTTTCTTACCTGCTGCTGTTCAGTGTGCTTACAATTTCAATGAACTGCCCATAAGAGCTCCTTGGGTCCTTTCCCCCACTAATGCCCATTTTTTTTTTTTGTTTATTTTTATCTTCCTCAGTCTGCCTTGTCTTGATCCACATTATTTCACATCCTAACCTGTTCAAGATAAGATGACTTTTTTTAAAAAACAATGAGTAACCGAAATCCAGGGTGGTTTGTTAGTTAGTTATCATCTGTGAAGAGAACAGCAATTGGTGTTAATGTTTCAGATGTTGGAGCCTTTTTTCTGGTCTTGTGAAGAATCTATTACTGAGAGTTTAAACGCTGTCTTCTCTCCACACGTTCTGCTTAGTAAGCCAGTGTTTCCAACATTTTATGCTTGTTTTTTTCTCTACATACATTATTCAAGTTGTTGTTCTTTTTGTATTTGCTTTTCCAACTCTTCATTGTGTGATCCTTACCCCAAATCAGTGTAATCAGAAAAGTTAAACAGCTTTAAAACAGAATAAATTTTGGCACAAAGGAAGATAATTTAGCCCATCCTGTGATACTCAAAAAAACATAAAATTAAGTCTAAGTCTTCCAGCTCCTGCTGCACAGTGCTGTGGATTACAAACCTGAACTGCCTTACTGAGTTGTTTTTTTTAAGATATCATGAGGTTCTGCCTCTATAACCCTTTCAGATAATGATCTCCAGACCCCGCACCACCCTCTGAGTGGAGAAATTACTCAACTTCTCTCTAATCCTTCTTACCGGTTGCCTTGAAT